TCAGCATCTCCGGCAAAACTACTAGAGCGAGTGCCTCTTATGCCGCCACCGCCATTTCCATACTGCCATGTTGCATTCTACATGCTGTCCTCACTCGATCTCATATGTCCGCTCCTCCATCTGAGTCTCCCGCCTTTTCGCCTCACCTACACTACAAGTCAAAGGAGTGCCACTTTCCCGCCGGAGAGGGATTTCGAGCACTGACCTACACAAGTTTGTGAGTCTGATAGATCCTCCTGCGGGTGGGTGGGCTTTCATTTTTGCGGTGTCTGTTGGTTTGTTTGCCTTGTGACGAAGCCGGCCGGCCGTGTCCGAAACATGAGAGCTGAAGTGGCGGTTTCCAAGTTCCGCCTGGGACTCATTGCACAGGGTACAGAAACAGCTGATTATTCCCACAATCTTGCTCGCAATAAGCTCTTTAGTGCGCTGTATAATTGCATCAAGTCCCGAGTATGGTTGTATTGCAGTCTTGGGCTCCGGGCGAAGGTTGAATTGCGACAAAATACAAGCTATACCTGAGAAAGACATGCATGGAGTAGATTCCGTCGCCGCTTCATCCGGTTTGTCGAGACATGTGGTGAGTCTTAGCGGTGGGAAAGAGTATGCAACTCATATATGCCTTACACGACTGACTCTTTGCACAGGATAACCTTTGCGTGCGATAAAGCTCTGCACGGAATTAAAGATCCGCACGTTAAGGAATCCGCACTAAAAAAGATTTCTGCACGTTGAAAGGTTCTGTATGAAATAAGGTTCTGCACGAGAAGAACCTTCGCATAAAACAAAGCTTTGCACGAGATGAAGCTTGACAATAATTTGCACACTGCATGAGATCCGGGCTAACTCTTATGAGCGTACAGAGCATAAGTAACAAGCTTGGCTTCCACAACTTCACACTATTGTGGGCGGAATAAGACTTGTAACTACGATTACGCATAGCTGCGAAAGAAGCAAGGACCACGAGAGGAAAGGAAGTCTTGGAACCTTGTGGAATACGGGAATGAACTTGACAGCGGCTGAAATCGAAGTATAGTAATGAGATTGCACCGAGAACATAATTTGTAGAAGAGTCTAGCGCACTTAGGCATAGGCTCGAGACACAAGAACAGGGATGCAAGTTAGAGAACGAGAGGGTGAGGTGAGGAATAGGGATTTGCTGTACCTGAGCTGCTACAGGAGGTCATTGGAATACGGGTCATGTTTCCAACTTTCGACTTGGGTGATGGCTATGTCTTTGTTCGGTTCCACATGCCATATTAAGGCGAGCTGAGGTATCTGCTAGCCATCCTGATTTTTAACTGTCTCCTCTGCTCCTCTGACAAGTCTGTGAACCTCCCATCAGAGATCTGTGGACTATTCCCATGATTGGAGTACTTGGTGTTTGGTTCAGAGACGGCACGTCGTTGGCACGAGTCGAGCTGTATGGGGGCCTTCTACACGCACCATTCGCAGGCACTTCAGCAACCTCTCGGGAGGTTGGAAGAAACTTGTTGTTACTGAGTGTCTCTTGTCGCTTATTTCGTATTAAAGTACCAAAGTCGAGTATACTGCAGCCCTCTAAGTCTTTATTTACCCTTGCAAGAACAGACTTGTCAGCATCGGCGATCCACACTTGGGTCAAGATTAGGGCCTGTTTTCCTGATCCGAGACCTCAGTCAATTTAGGGACTGATTCAGACACAAGAGACCGACGTAGTGATAGAAGCACTAATATAAGACACTATTCGGTGACGTCTCCCCTTCTACTGTCTTACCAACAAGGGTTGAACCTACATCAATTACCAGAACACTCATTTTCACGAACATGATGTCCAGTCCATGGAATGGTCCTATTTCCCCTTGTGTAGGAATCATCTAGTTTAGACGAATTGCCTGTCATTTCCCCCCAAAAACCAATCGTCAATGCCCCCGCGCGACATACGGGATTCACATCAACTCACACGCTGATACTACTGCAACTTACGCCGTTTCCCTCGTTATCAACAACCACAACACCGTCTCCGTTGTAGATCGCGCTTCGCCCCCGCGACGGGAGAGATAATGATGATCGCGCTGATAATTTGCGTGAAATGTTTCCAAATACACCGATCTTCACAACATACAATCTGCGCATCGTTGCACGTCATCTTCCCAGGCATCAGCCTGTGTGCTTCTGCTAGATCACGAAGTTCTCGGTAGTGATCCTCGTCTTGCTGGCGAATTCCTGAAATTTGGAGACGTCAACAAACGCCTACACCAATCGGACACGGGACCAATTTTGCTCCAGCCATCTATTTATCGACACTTTGGCCTCTGTGGTTGGACCTGGACACTTCTCTCCCAATGCAACGAATATTGCCTGTTGGACTGCCGAGCTGCAGCTGTGACTGCCCACATGGAAAAGGGGTTTTCGCCGAGATGTGGGTACTCAGAGACTCTTTGGAGCTGTGACAGTACGAAATTCCTTCGGTTCGGTCTCCATTTTCTGTTTGCTTGCCCAAACAATACCCGGAATCCATTTCCACCGCACGTCATCTATCGTGATGCATACTCGTGCCGCCACATCTCGTCAAAGGACCATGCGCCAGTGTCTTTCATCCGGTATCATATAGAGTCGGCAATGAGCTTCTGTAAGAGCAAACCACGATCAGAAATCTCTGTACAGACATCATGCATACCTTGACAGGGGTAAGTATCGCGACTTTTCCTATGTCCTCAATCGCTGCGAACAATGGTTGTATTTACAGACTCGCCAACTCCCATGCGCCCGATTTTGGTGATGATATTGTTCCTTAAATATGCCCAAACCATGAAGAAATCCAGAAAGGAGAGCTGCCGCCTTCGTGTGGCCTTCCTCGGGGACTCAGCTTCTCTCATTGGCCCGAATGCTGCTCTGAAGAGTTTGGAGCTACGCCATGGAGCTAATATGAGCCCAGAATCTGACCAGAGCCTGAATATGTCAGACCTTGGGCGTTGAGAGAGGTTCGTGGATGACATATATGTTAGGACTGTAGCCAGTAGTCAATGTACCAAACTGTAGGTCTCTTGACAAGGTTGGAGCAGAGGTATTGCTACTTTAGGGTTTTGATCCAATGACGAATGATTTCGCAAGCCAAGTCAACCAGGTAATCTTTTCGCAAGTCAGTTTCCTGATGAAACCATAGGAGGTGAGGCGGTTAATGGAAATGTTTCCACATATAGCCGGGGGATCGAAGTTGCCATCGGTGACCTTGTGTTGATGGATTTAGAACGTCATTTAGTTTTACTACCGTTCGTGGTACAATATCCGGAAGAAGCACCTCGGAGCTTTCTCGAACCTGAGAAGCGTACACGGCAAACTTGGGCGCTTAAACTGTGGATGCGAAAGAATGTCTGGCACCTGCGGCATCTTGAAGATGTTCACTCCAGCCAGGGACTGTGAGGACGCGCAGACGGAACTTCAGAAAAATGCCATCAAGGACAGTGAAGAAGCGTCTCAGAATAACTTGTAGAGCGTCCATGAATGGATGTGCTAACTTGATCTCCAACGCGGGGTGACGAGCAAGGGATACTTATGCGCATCTGTTGAATCACTTTACAACGAAAGACGGCGTGAGCGCTAGGCCGGGCAATTGCAGTCGAGATGTTTGGAGTATCCGAGCATTGCATACCTGATTTGACTGGAATTTGTAGGTCGGAACGACGGCCGAGTCTGTGGAGCGTGAAGCTTTCGCTTTGCGGCTTATTTTGGTTGCTTCGCCGACCGTAGCAGTCTTAATTGAAGCGAATATGAAGACGATACTGTATTGTCAGCGAGATGACCATTGATCCTCATATCTGGCTGTGTCTTGGAGTCTTGCTCTCTGCGGGTGGATGTCCGCAACCAACCCACTACCTGGAGTTCGGAGAGTCATGGCTTTGGGGGACAGAATAAGACAGAACAAATGACCATATGGACGCTGGTTGGAGATGCTGAGCGACGAACCTACAGGTGTTTGAGATGCTGCCTGAACATCTCGCCGCTGCAGACCGTCCCCAAGAGCGGCTGATTCGATTGAAGTCGGTGTGTTTTAGAAAGTTTCAAGGAGATGGACTACACGTGTCAAACTAGAGTTTCTTTGAGCATTGGCTGAGAAAATCGGAGCTTAGTGGAGGTTGTTGTAGCGCAAAGTTAGACGATAATTTCTAGGACTAGACGTGCAGAAGAGTTAGGTAGAAAGTAACATGGGACGATGAGTGTTGTCCTTAGTTGAGCCCCGCTTGGCCGCCTGGGCTTCGAACCCTAGACGGAGCTTATGCCCCTTGCACGACATGAATATCCCATAGAACGGATGCGTTGAGGAATGTCGAGCGCCACAGGGCAGCACAGGATCCATCCATGCATGTACCGGTCAGGTAGAACATCCGTCAGGATGTGAGAGGCCAGCGATGGTGGGTTGTGCGCCTCTCACTCAATCTGCCAAGCATCAAGACTCGGAACCTCTCTCGCTGGTGAACCGACTCCACCACCATCATCTTGTACAAGAGGCACCACCAAGAGAATTTATCGCAAGCATAATTGATGAAATTCCTGCTCAGTTCCGTAAACTACTCGCTTACTCTCCTGCTTTCACCGATTGAGCAACATCACTGGCGTTCCCCGCGCAACCCGATGATTTCATTACCAGCGATCCCAGAACTAAAGGCTTCGTTTGCGTGGATGAGGAAAATAGAGGTTGTACACGCTGTCAGTCCATAGGTGTAAGGCTCTGGACCATGGAGGAAGAACCGAAATTCCAGATATGAGGACGGAAATGCCGAATGGAGTCAGTTGTTTGATTGGGCTGTCATTTACGGCCTTCTGAAGACGTTGAGATTCAATCAAAGGCAGAAAGTGGCACTCCCTGGGTTTTGGCTGTTTGATGCACAGTTGGAAGAGACTTGTCGGTGGGCTCTCCGTCAGTGTGAATACGATACAGGGGAAGCCGGCAAAATCTAACGGGAAACCAGCAGAGGTGAAAAGAAAGGAGAGAGTTCAATCAGCAAAAAGTAGTAAAAAGAAATTGTCTTCGGTCGGACTCGAACTGACGACCTTCAGCTTAAGGATACTACGCTAGGGCTAAGAATACCAAGAGACTGCTGCTCTACCGACTGAGCTACAAAGACGAGTGTCATTTATTGTTGATGGAAGGGATGATCAGATTAGTACTTGAAGGTTTGGTTTGTGAATCAAGTCTTCAGGGTCACTTGACCTTTGTAGTTCGGTCAGACGGGTGTGCATTCGCCGTTGACAACCCATGCGCAAGAACCCGGAGCATGCATTTGTGGCCACTAAGTCTGGCGCCCGCCCTAACCAGGTGCAAAGAGACGGAAGAGGTGCGTATTATGTATGCATGCACTTGATCTGCAGACTGTGGGTACGTCTGCGCCATGTGATGAGCACGATCTGGACGACATGGATGAACAAGCGCTAAATCCGAAGCCATATAAGGCAAGTACTCCGAGAATATGTTACACGTCAACCACCGCACAGCAGAGCGCATGCCTGAGGGACCAATCTCGGTCCTGTCAAATGTTGAACACCCTATCGAAGGACAGGAAAGCATGAGTCCTGCCAGGCTTGTGTCTCCGTATTGAAACCCGCCGTGTCAGCCCCTAAGCAGAACGACTTGCGACGGTCATAGAAATAGCTCCAAGGACGGTGGATTCGGACTTTGCTCTTGGCCGATCGGACTGAAATGGGCGGGCTGGCCGTTGACTGGAAACATTTCCTCCTTGGGCAAATGTCGTGGGCGAGAGCAATGGTCAATGTAAATTTCGACGTCAAGTCAGCGTTCTCTGCGAAACACCCTTCGACAAAGATCTTGACGGTTGTCAAATCGAGTGGCATAAACACTATCATGCACCCCAAGAACTCCATGTGCCGATCGAGACGTTGACCAAGCGTCTCAAAGCTGTCAGGCTAAGGATAAATCTGTTATAACAGTGCTTTCTGGGTGCTTGTCTCAAAGCTGAGTTGGAAGTGTGACCACGGCAGTCTGGTGGAACTTTGTTCATGACTCAACCAACATCGGAGTGAGATATCGGAGCCAGAGAGTCTTGCAAGTGATAGTAGCGACGGGATGATGGGCTTGTATCATCTTCACAAGATGGGAATGACAGAAGCATGAAGAAGAAGGGAACAGACGTTGCCTAGCGCTTTGGACTATTGGCAATGGTCAAAATGACATCCATCACACGTGCTTCTACTGAGCTTCACAGAGCTGCTGTTTGCGGTATCACCCCAGCGGCGACAGAAGCAGCAGTAACAGCCAGCTGAGCGTGCTGAGCCCTGTGGAGAGAAGGCGCGTGTTTCACGTGATTCTGTGCAGCGAAAAGCTACGACGCGAAGCTCAAGACACGGCCAAATTCGGCCTCAGAGGCGTTACCCGCGCAGCTTGCGATCATGAGTCGGAATCTCTCGTTTGTTGCGTCAGTCCTCTTTCCCCTTCGGACGCCCACGTCGCTCTCAATCTAAGAGCAGGAATCCAAGATGCCGGCACGTTCTCGGCGTCGAATGCCTAGGACGGATGAGACGGTCGGCACTGTTCTCTGTGACCCGCTGGAAGGATTCACTGGAAGTATCGACTCCTCTTGCGTAACTTGATCCCAAGATCGAGTTCGGCGTATGCTTTGACCGTGACGTGCATACTGTCAACGAGCACAAGTGTGGTTGGCGAATGGGTAGTCGATCTCAGAAGTGAGGAGGAAGGTGGTGATTGCCATAGCTGGGGACACCGTTTCTTGAGATTCTCTGGAAGATGCATGATGGCGATTCTCAGCGGTAGGCTTGTTGAAGACGGACATGTTGGTTGATTGGGAAAGCTGGACATGGAGGGACGTCGGAGGTAAAATTCTTCCTGTCAACTGAGCCTTCCCAGCACTGCTCACGCCACTCGCATGCCATGGATTGCAGGGGAGGGCGACGGCTGATGATGTGCCGAGGGCGACACCAAGAAAAGGAGCATTGGCGGCTTGCGGGAAGGCGAAACCTTACATCGCGGTTCCATACTGCCGTGCGTCCGGCGGTGTCGGGGACGGGGCACTGTCACGCGCTATCAGCGGTTACATGGCGATCATGAGGACGATCGGCACTGGTTCGTTGGGTCCTGTTGTATCGTTGAAGATCTTGGTACATGGAGGAGTTTGCGGCAGAAATGATGGTTTAGGCTCGACTATTGGCGCGTGGTAGTTCGACCTTGGCATGACCACTCTGCTGAGAGCCTCAGGACACCTCCTTGAGGGAAATATCCATGGTCTCGGCAGGCTTGTGGGACTCTTGGCCATGAATACTGATGCCTCCGTCGATGACGACTTGATTCAAAGACCCAGTCACGAAAGGGAAGTTGGAAAGGGTTGAAGAGCACGGCTTGCAGATCTAGGTCAATTTTCCAAGAAGTTCGTGGTATTATCATGCTCAGCGCGTTACAAAACCCTTTGAGGCTACCAGACGGATTTGTAGTCGCATCGACAACAAGGGCGTTGAACAAAAGAGAAAGGGCGTGTTCGGCGGCAAGACGTACAAGGTGGTGGGTCCGAATCGGCGAGGACTGGAATGGTTTCGAGGATATAAGAAGACTGGATTGCCTGAACCAAGAAGGTTGCGCCTGCGATTGACTTGATCGGGGGATGCGACATCTCGCAAGGTGGCCGGTGCCGTCAACAGTGGTGCGGGCAAAGAAAGAAATGGCCAAATGGTAGGTGTTGCTGTCGGAGTCCCCATCCTCAACGCCGGCGTCATTGTCTTTGGTAACACCGGGGAGCAAGAGTACTGAAGTGCAGGGTAATTAGTCAGCATTAAGCCATTCAATAGCTTCGCACCAGGCGTAGAAGCAGGTGAACGCCAGCACGGAGGTGTGGGACCCAACATACCTAGCTTTAAGGAGATCAAATGCATTCCATCGCTCCTCAACGGGGCACTCATCTGACTGATCGAGTGATAATGCGATACGATGAAACGAGGTCAACTCGCGGAGGAGGGTCGCTGCGAGGGGCAGCTGCAGTGGTAACGCTAGGTCAATAGGTGCTGCAACACGTGATTATTGAAAGGACTGGCGACGTGAGGTACCAGGAGGAGACGGAGCAGTTGAAGTAACGGTCGGAACTAAACTTGGGGGACCGAGTCGGGGCCGAGATTGACGCTGGCGTTGGCGCTGGCAGAAACCCGAAGCTTGTTGATTGGGACGGCGGCCTTGCGAAGCTGCTGCCATCCGAGTGTTGCTTACTGGAGAAAAAGTTAGAAGGGAAGAAAGAGCGTTGCTTCGCAGCCGGGTTCCCGTCGGGGGTCGTGGGCCGTGGGATGTCAGAACAAGGGCTTCCGACAGCGGCGGGCGATCGGACGGGTGGAAGATGACGAACATGAGGAGGAAACCGCTGTGGTTATCGGGGACATGGGGGGTAGCAGGCCATGCGTCAGGGTGTGTCTCCCAGCCTGCGCATGAATGGTCCTTGTCCTGGTCCTGTCGAGGCAGAACCTGGTGGAATGGAAGGCAAATGTTGGAGTCGAGGTCGATAAGTCAAGCAGCTGCACAAACGGTTCCAATTTGCCGGATGGCACCTTCAGTGTTGGGGAGAGGGGGGGTGGGTACCGCACCCGGCGACTGCTCTCGTCATTTGGCAGTGGCTAGGCGTCGGCACCTTCCATTGCTGCAAGACGTGATTAAGGTTAGTGGAGAAGGAACGGTGACAGTCAGGTTCGTGCCCATCAACGTGCTGTGGCACACAACAAGGCCAGATGTCTCTGGGGACAGCTGATGTAATCGACCTCTGGGACCTGCAAGGCGCAGGAGCGCGCATGCTGGTGCTTCGGCATGCTCTGCGATAATGCGCGCGCGCAGTGATGGGATGGAGGCGCCACGGCCTGGCGTCTCCCGCGTCCCATCATCCGAATGTGTGGGAAGCCAACCAGAGGTGTGGGATCCCTGTGCTGGAGGCGGGGGCCAACATGAACCAGATGCGTGGAACCCCCAGCACACCCTGTCGGGAAAGCATGCGACACAACGACTCCTTCGACGGCCGGACACACTCTTTCGTGCACTGAACTCGCAGACGGTGCAGGAGGAAAACAAATCGCCACAGTGAAGACAGATTGGGTTAGGTAGCACCTTGATTGGGGTCCTCCATACCCAGAATGCTTCTTTATTACACCCTCCAACCAAAAGCCTAACTCTATAAATTCAGACAGCCACAAATCTCCACACACTCCAAGACAATCAGCTGAGCAACCGAGACCTCTACCTCCCAAGAAGCATTCGCAAGCATGTACATCACACCCGCGTGGATCGCAAAAGTCCATCCAAGCGATCAAGCCACGGATCCTAGCAGCAATGCTGTGAACCAGTCCGGGCAACTTTTCGCATCTGGCACGGAACGGCAGCAAGTAGGGGCGGGGGCATTCGGACATAAGCCGGCGGGGGCATTTGTGACGAGGCACTTCAGTGCTGAGGGAGTGCACCTGCACCTTGCACACAAAGGAAGCAGCCAATCTGAGGGTGGAAGGCTGGAGAGGCTCAGGTCGCAATCGCAATCTTCGGGGAAGACTGCTTCCGACATGGCCGACCGACGTGGGGCCTTCCACTCTCGAAGCACCTTCCACACCGAGCAAGACGGGAGCGAGAGATGAACGGTCATACAAGTGTAAGGTTGGCAGGTGTGATGGAGGGTTCTCTGCGGGGTCGGCAACCACCTACCCATGCACTTCAGGTAGGAAAGAGCGAGGACTCGTCGAACAGGAGTGTTCTTAGCAGGTCCTTCCTTTCACATCAAGTGCAATTCTCTCGAACAGCAGGCAACAAGGTACCTACTTCCCATTCCGATATCTACCTACCTTACACACCTCCTTCACCCAACGCGCCCCCCTCATCCTTTCGTTCCATCACAAGTACCTTACGCCGCAGATTTCTGCCCGCTCCCACCGGCTTACTTCTGTCCCGTCCTTCTTCCTTCCAATTTTCCCCACACTTTCGTCAAGCAGGTTACCGCCTGCAGGCACAACTGTGCGACTGCTGTTCGACTCTGATGGGGAGATACATGCTCCACCATCGCGCGACATCACCGCTCCAGGCCGATGTCCACGTCAAAACCATCCAGCGGCATGCCTCTGTCGTCGGCTGCCTTCCTTTCGTAGC